TAATGGATTCATATAAAGAAATTACCATTCCTGACTCTCGAGCCAAACTGGATTTCACAAATGTAAAGCAGATTGTTTGTAAGTAATTCAAAGAAATCAATAAGGAACTGACAAATGTCAAGAAAGCCATCAAATCCAGAGCCTGAATATTTGAATTCACCATACATGATTAAAGTGTTTGTAAAGATAAAAAAATATTATTTTTGTTTGGAGATCTTGATAATTATATCTGATGTAAATACTAAGATTTTGTTGTGTAATACATTTTGTAATTGTGTGACACTAACCAGTTACAGAGAAGTTCAGCTAATATTGTATAGTGCTAGTACTTCTTTAATTAATACAAGTATGTGTCACACTTGAAAAGTTAACATTGCATGAGGTTGGTCACCTTTCTACGTGTAAAATTCGTTGTTGGTAGTGAGTGAGTGAGAAACTAGGAAACTTGTTATTTAACCATGTTTACATAAGATGTGATAGAGAGAAGACACCACACCGTATGAAGGTTTCAAAACATAAACTAATGTGTTTTTTAGGAATATTTAATATAACTTTCTTTTTTTTCTTATTATTTGAATATCAAAGGTGAAGTGTAGAATGCCGACAGGTTTTATTTCTCCAAAACCTTAATGTCTAGTTATCATTGTTTGTTAGTTTATTGAAAGATGGCATCAGCCAGCCCCGTTAAGGTAGAAAAAGGATCGGAAGCCACAATTTCGGGACACGAAGAAGCGGAGGCCATAATTAAAAGTATGGAAGGAACGTACCTTCTGGTGGATGTAGGAGCAAACCTCACCAACAAAAAATTTTCCAGGGATCTTGATGCTGTTGTGCAGAGATCAAAAGATGCAGGCAAGATCAGAATACTTTTACTGGAGACTTGTTAATATTGTTTCAAGTGACGAATTTGTTTTTGAAAATATTCTTGATGCTAGAAATCTAGAAACTTTTTGTGCAGGGATCAAAATATATATCATGAAATCATAGGTCCATCATCCTAATTGGTTTCATGACATATATTCTGATCCACAAAAGTACCTACATCCCTCACCCTAGTTTTGGTTTCATGACATATATTCTGATCCACAAAGTACTTACATCCCTCACCCTAGTTTTGGATTTCATGACATATATTCTGATCCACAAAAGTACCTACATCCCTCACCCTAGTTTTGGATTTCATGACATATATTCTGATCCACAAAAGTACCAAAACTAGGGTGAGGGACGTAGGTACTTTTGTGGATCAGAATATATGTCATGAAATCCAAAACTAGGGTGAGGGATGTAGGTACTTTTGTGGATCAGAATATATGTCATGAAATCCAAAACTAGGGTGAGGGATGTAGGTACTTTTGTGGATCAGAATATATGTCATGAAATCAAAATTAGGGTGAGGGATGTAGGTACTTTTGTGGATCAGAATATATGTCATGAAATCAAA